CGGCTTAACGAACTCAGGAGTTTCTCAGACGCCGTCAGTGAAAGGAAAGCATCAAATCACGAATCAAGAAAGAAGGTATTCCCGTCTAATCTCGCTATGTCTTGCCTTGGTCAAGGTAAAGCTCATTCACAAGAAGTCTCACAAGATCAAGATCCGCGTAGAGACAGCACAAGCGCATTTCTTCCATTACATTAAAAGGTCAAAACAACGCGAAATCATATGTATTGCTTTTCAAATTCATTAAGTGGATCTTGTAGGATCTCTCTGACTCCCTCAAGATGTAATATCAATGCAAAGTAAATTCTTTGTAGTGCAGGACTTTAATAAGATTGATGATGTGTATGATTCAAAAACTATTTGATTTGTATGATTCAAAAATCTAATTGGAAAAACTTTGAATTAGAAACAAGGAATGATTAAAGTTCAAGAATCCAAATAATCTCCAAACCAAAGAGATGATAGACATCAATTTTTTTTTATACATCACGGACCAATGGCTTCATTCCCTACACCCCCAACCTCGAGGCATATACACATATCAACTCACCGGTGGGTTCCCTTGGATCAGCTCTCGCCAACGTCTCAGTTGTATCGTACCTGACGCAAAGATATGAAAATGTTGTCAACAAATTACAAAACAAAACCAAAACAAATTACCACATCTAATTGGGCTTTTAACACTAAAGCTTTTGTGATATTAAACTTAAAATCGAGAAAAAAKAAAAAAAAAAAGTCTTATTGATCAAAGACCAGATTCTGTGAAGAGGACCGAAGAAGATTACTCATAATTTTCCAAATAAATATGCCAATTTTAGATTTCACATGCTTCTTTCAGTAATCAATCCTATCAACAAATAAGTAACGCCTTTCGAATTAATTACCTACCTAAAGAACAGGGCAAAATGGCCTACCAAAACCTTCTTCTAGAAACACAAAAAAAAAGGAATGATTTATAGAAATTACGAAGCTAAACCCCTAACAATCGAGAAAGAGAAGTAGAAATCTGAAATTCACACGCAAAACGCAACAATTGAAATTAAAAAAAAAACCCACATTACTAACTCGAGAAGAATAATAACAAAATCTTACAGTTTCCAACGAATCTATACAAGTTTGAAACAAGTGAAGCCATGGCCGTATAAATTTGA